ACCATGTATTAAACTCTTGACGAATCTGTTAGAAATCAAACTTATTTCTATGAAAGTTGAAGCCAAATATGTCGGCAAAGCTCGGAAGCAACAAGCAACATCTAGAATAGTTAAGAAAATTGTGGAGATAAAAAACAATGTGAGAAATTGCAGCAGCAAAATGGTGATGTGGCAGCAGCAAAGTAAATGCTTAATTATTAAGAGAAATGAGGAGGCAAAACAAAGTAAAAAAAGACAGCAAGAAAGGAAGAAAGTGGCAGCTTCTTGAAGTTTAAATTAGTCGGTTTAATTAGCTTATAAATATATGTAATGTATGAGATGTAATACAAGTGAAAAAACAAGAATGAATGATAGCTTAGCAAAACTATTAGAGAGAATTGAGTAAAGCTTAACAAAGCTTAGAATAGAGAGGTTGTGTTTATAAACTAGCCTCAGTTAGTGTTGTAATGTTGTAATATTGGGTTACGTCGTTGTAATATATTTTGCTTCGTATCAATAATAGTTCGAGAGTTATAAATTATACGCTTCCAACAGAATTAACGTTACAACTCTAGTCTTCCTAACTCAGTTGAAATAATAATAATCAAAATTATACGATGATACATTTATGGAATTATATAGAAGAATATAAATATTTAAAATTTATTTTTTTATTTTCACATATCCGATAAATAGAAGACGTAAATTCATGTGTATAAAGCAAGTAAATCAATTGGTTGATTAGTATGTCATAGAATTCTATCGACTTTATCATTATGGTAGAAAATACATTAAATCTGATGATCATAAGTTTCAGATGTTTATGGATTGCTTAAACGATAACCTATGACCTCTGCTCACAACTCTAGAATATCTATTTTATAGTAGTTAGTAAATCATGTAATTGCTACTAAATCTGTTCTTAAAGTTGGAGATAAGAAGAAGAATGATTCTCAAAAGTTCGTAAATTGAGGCCTGAAATCCTCTCGTTCCCTCTTACCTCCAAAAGGGACATGAGAATCATATGGATCTTCTCAACTATTATCTGGATAAAGTTCAAATGTAATACATTTTGAAAAACCTTATTGTCAAATCTTAGTCTGTTGGAAGTACAAATGGTTCTGGAAAGGAATCAAAAGTATGTTTGTCTGATCATTTCCAAAAGTATCATCTAGATGAATGTAGGAAGCTTGCGAAGGCTTGTTACTTCTATGGAGAAAAGGTTGATTACATCAGGGATTGTCTAAAGAATCTCGAGAAAAGTTTAGCTCCATCCCGTAAGATATTTGTGTCCAGGAGTCCAATTTTATAACTCAAATTCACCATGCTTGCACCTAAGAGGATCATAATTCCCTTGATGTGATTGCAGGTACATTTGATTCATTTAATAAGTCAAATTGTCAGAAAGAATCAATATGTGGTTCGTAAAGAATTATTAAGGTTACCTCTCGTTTGAGAGGTAGAGTTTGGAATTGAGTTGTTATATGGAATTATGTTGGTCTCAGTAGTTCTGTATAACTTTTACCTTAATCTACAATTCTTTCGATAACGATTCAAGCCCGCAATTTTACCTTTTTCTGGCTCATCATCTTCATCAAAATCAACAAGTCTTTTAAGATAACTTAAGTCTGAATTATTTTACATGCTCTGGGAGGCACCATTTTGCTTCTCCATATTTCTCAATGCATTTCTCGAGCAGGGTGTCTTCTTCTTCTTCTTCAGTCCATGCACCTTTTCCAATACCGAGTAACTGAAAGATGCCCCTCCCATACGATCCACTTTGGTTGCTAACGTCGCTGTTTAATGCTTATTTTAGTTTTTACTTAAGTGTGGAATGCCACCCATTTATTTATAATTTCCATAAGTGTTTGGGGTAAAGAAAGAAAAGGCCTTTTAACAATGGCGATGTGCATGCCTTTGTATCCGCAGAAAGCTCCACAAAAGAAAGTGAATGCCTGGCTTTACTCTATTTTTTTTATTGCATTTGCAACTACCGTTCCAGCTATCTTTACAAACCTTCCAATCAATCAATCTGGGGTAATTTACTCGGATATTATAATTGAATTTTTCTATTTTCAAAATAGGGTAAAGTATAGTAATGGTCACTGAACATTTCAGAAGCTTGCATTTAGGTCCCCCAACTTTTAAAACTTGCAATACAGTCCCCCAACATTTATTCCGTTTGCAATATGGTCCCCAACTTAAATCACTGTTAGAAAATTAGGGTAAATTATATAAACGGTCATTGAACTTTTCAGGCACTTGAATTTAGGTCCCCAACTTTTAAAACTTGCAAAACAGTCCCCCAATAATTTTATTTTCTTATTAAATATAGATGTATAGAAAATATAAATGATTCAATTTATATTTAAATGTATGAATCATTTATATTTTTGATATATTTTATTTTTCTTGTATAAACTAGTATTTAAAATATGTTTATATTTTAATCAAAATATTTCAATATACGAATAAAAATATATTTATATAAATGTATATTTATATTTAGATGTATAAATAAAAAAAATATATTCATATATTAATGTATGAATCATTTATATTTTTTGAATATTTTATTTTTAATAAGAAATTAAAATTATTAATTATATTAGAAATACTCAACTTAAGATTATATATATAATCATGAATTATAAATATGAAAAATATAATTATTAAATTTAGTTTAAAAATATATAAATCTTAAATTTATTCTTTTAAAATATTGTATCAACTAATATTTAAAAAATATATTAAATCTATCAAACAATTTATCAAATATAATATTTTTTATTGTAAAAAATATAATATTTTCCCATCATTTATTGCTTTCAAATTTTTTGCCGAAGTTCAAATCTCATTATTTCCATTTTCTATTATATTCTTTTTTTTTATGGCATTGGTCATACTATTAGTATATGTATTATTGTATATCTCTTAACACAAACGATGGTGTTAGCTTAGTGGCTCCACCCTGTATCTTTCATTTGCGTGACTCAGGTTTGAGTTTGCCCAAGACCCAAATTTTACTTCTTTGTAACTTAATTTTCTTCTAATTAGGTGGTGACACGTGTCACCAATAACATATATCATGATCATGTGTTAACGCATGTCAGATCCTGGTTAAATGATTAATTTATTAAATTTTATTTAATTTAGGACCAAATTGATAACATATATAAATAATTAGGTGGTGACATGTGTCACCAATGACACGTGTCATGATCATGTGCTAACACATGTCAGATCCTAATTAAATGATTAATTTATTAAATTTTATTTAATTTAGGACCAAATTGATTATATAAATAATAAAGACTGAATGTATAATAATGTCAATTCCTTTTAACTGCCACTTCATCATTTGTATCAATTGGTAACGACTAGTGGCTTAGTTGAAACAGTTAAATAATTATGTTGTATGATTGATAAATTTAAAAGATCGATGACAAAAGTAAAAAGGGCTAGATAGTTAAGTTGTCAACCTAGTAGTTTACACTTTTATTTATACGTCAAAATAACATTTTATAAATTTAAAATTCGAATTATTTTCAACCTCTTCTATATCCTAACTACTTTTTTAATTAAAAATTTCTTCAACGGATAAAATTATACTATTATTTATATAAAAAATACGTATCGCATGAAATAAGATGAAATTAAATAATAATAAATCTGACATAATTGAATTTAATTGAATTATTTTGGAATTTAGGGTTTAGAATGAAATTGAATTACTTTGGAAATTGGGGTTTAGAATGAAATTGATGATTGTTTTGCAAGTTTTAAAAGTTGGGGGACCTAAATTCAAGTGTCTGAAAAGTTTAATAACCTTTTATATAATTTACCCTAATTTCTAACGTTGGTTTAAGTTGGGGACCATATTGCAAACGGAATAAATGTTGGGGGACTGTATTGCAAGTTTTAAAAGTTGGGGGACCTAAATGCAAGCTTCAGAAATATTCAGTGACCATTACTATACTTTACCCTTCAAAATATTACACGCTTTAATTTATTTTTCAATCTGTTGTGATGTCTACAGTAAATCTGAAGTTGGTGTGATTGCACACTGTCTTCACTATTCATGTAACTATTTTATAATAAAAAAAATAAAATGGTAGGATTACACTACATCTTTCCTATTCATTTTTTTTTAATTTTAAATTTTCATCTACAATAAAGAGGATAGAATTACAATCCATCCTCACTATTCACTTTTTTTTTTCAATTTTAAACTTCCTTCTACAGTGAACATATGTCCATAATCTACTTCAATATTCACATTTTATTCTTATTTTTTTATTGCTACAATGAAGTATGCAAATCTACATTGGAATGTGAAATCATATAATTGTTCAAGTTCAAGTCAAATTATGTTAGGTCAGGTCAAATTAAATATGAATTATGTCAGGTCAATTTAATGATTTTACTCGGATCAAGTTGGGTCTGGTCAACTCAGGTTTAGGTTATTTTTAAGTTGATTTGAAATCAGATTCAGTTTGAGTTTGGATCAATTAATTTCAGTTCGGGTGAGAATCATTTTAATATCATGTTAATTCAAGTCAGATATCGTTCAAATTTGACCACTTCATTAACAGATAAAACACATATCAGATCTTACTGGATATGGACGGACGTTAGGTCGAATCATTTTCAGATGAATTTTTTCTCACCTTTCATGAACCTCGAATTATAATCTATAATTGTATAGAGCTTGTAGTAAATTTAAATAAAATATAAATAATTATGGCCAATTTCATATAAAAATATAATTATAAGGATTAAATTGAACAAACATAAAATTAAAAGTGAAAATTAAATAAATTAAACAATACGCATGAATCAAATTGAAACAGTTGCAAAATGTAAAATTAAAATTAATATCAAATTGGTTATTTTCATGTTGATTTGAAATATAGTGACTCGAATGTAAATGGATCAAGTCCAAATGCACAAAAGTTGTTCCAAGCCAACATTAATAATTATTCATCAACTATGGAAACTAATCTGATCGTGGTAACCATCTTGAAGATCACTCTCACTGCCTTCAAATGGATCTAAATCTTCTGACTTCCTTTCCTTTCATCTCCACAGATTCATAGACCGTGTACTCCCAATTATTTTCATCAGATTGCAGAAAGGCTTTGATTTGGATCTAATTTTATTTCCTCAAAATTTACATTTCAGCCATGAATTCACTTAAAACCGGCACGATTTTCCTCATATCGGCCATTTTTCGTGTGGGTTTAATCCTGTATGGTGAATGGCAAGATACCCATATGGAAGTTAGATACACAGATGTGGATTACATTGTTTTTTCTGATGCTGCTTCTTTAATGGCTTCTGGTCAATCTCCCTATAAAAGAACCACTTACCGTTATTCACCTTTACTTGCTTTTCTCTTAATCCCCAACTCTTTTATTTCCGGTTCTTGGGGCAAGTTTCTCTTCTCAGCTTCAGGTATTTTTCAGTTTTCAGCACCAATTGTTAGAATAAAGTTTGTTGCTTTTGCACTTGCAAACTTCTTGTTTCAGATGCTGCCTTTTCTTACTTATGGTTGCAGCTATTAACTCCATTAATTTAGGTTCCAAGAACCTTTTCTTGTTATAAGAAGCCACTCCCGAGCTATAACCTTCATTATTAGCAATTAGTTGGAATTGTGCCAAATAATTTAATTTCCACATGCTCTTTGACTCTTACTTTATCATTGCCGCCTTCAATGTTGACTTTCCATATAGTTATGACACTAAATTTCATTGCGTTTTGGTTCTTATCCTCGTTTTGCAGATTTATTTGTTGGGTTGTTTATTCGTATCATATTGAAGCAGCGTAAGGTGCCTGATCATCTATGCACGTATTCCATGTTGATATGGCTTTTCAACCCATTTACGTTCACAATTGGAACTCGGGGAAACTGTGAACCTATTGTTTGTGCCATGATTTTGTGGATTATTATCTGTCTTATCAATGGTATGTAGACTTGTTATTCACCTTTTTAAGTTAAATATATTTGCTTTAATGGATAATGGATAAGAGATGAAGAAGATGAAACAAATGACTCCAAGGTGATCGACAAAATGTTTAAGAAATAAATTGTTGAGGTAACTTTGATACGTTGTGATCCATCAAAGGGGTCAACACCACACACTACTTTCGTTGTAAACATTATTCATATACATCTGATTCCAGTTCCGATAAGAAACAAAAAATGCTAACAATGTCACTGAAAGGTAGTTGAATAGTATCCCAGTAACTGAGATTGTTGTTGACTTTAACCACTGTGTTACCATCATGCCACGTGAGCCTGCTTATACTCTGGTATGCTTCCCTTTTGGTATCAGAAGTATTATCTTCCTAAACGTGCCTCTAAAAATTGGGTTCTGTCATCCTTACCTAATAGAAAGTATAGCTCTTAGGTAAAGGCTTCTATATTTTTTGGTAGATAAGGTGTCGTGGTTTTCAGTGTCATCCATATTCATCGTAGGATTCAAGGTTGAAATCAATGCCAATTAATTCTTGGGTGTCTGACTTTCTGGAATAATTATCACACACCTGGAAATGCTGGATCTGACTCTAGGTCAAATCCATCTTGAGGGAGCACGATAGCCAATAGATTCCTTCTATTTACAGGTTTGTGTAGTTTCTTCTTGATTAGCTTCATAGTATTTCGGGATTACTACAGTTAGGGCTAGTCAAGTTTCTAGCTAATTTAACCTGCTACAGAAAACAACTTAAAAGCTTAATTGCAACTTGGTTTTTCAGCTGATATGAAGAATTGTGTAAAATTGTCAGTAATTTAAACATTGGTATTGTAAAGGGAGAGTCTTAAATACATAAGCTGCTCCTTGAGAAGTTTGGTGTTCCGAAAAGATGATATTGTTATTTGAATTATTTGTCTCTAATGCAACTCACACAATGATTTTACTTGTAGTGATCCAGTTCATCTTGTTAGAGAGTGAAAAAACTTGAACTACTGGCGTAGTGGGAAGGATTTATCAATATAGCATTTATATTGGATTACCTACTTGATTTCAATTGATTAATCATTCAGAAAGTTATGAGTTAGGTATCAAATGGAAAAGGTTTCATTACAGTAGTTTCTCATATATTATGTATCTATTTTCTAAGTCTTTTTTTTTGGGTTGATGATTGGGCACTGCATTAAGGGGAGTTCTGTTGTTATCCAATTTAATTTGATTTATTCTGGTTGGATCTGTTGATTTCCTTCTTTCTTCTTGATAGGTAATGTGGTACAAGCTGCATGTTGGTACGGTCTTATTGTTCACTTCAGAATTTATCCTATAATCTATGCTCTTCCCATCATCCTTTTTCTTGATCCACGCTTTTTGCAATCTGGTGTGAAGCCATTGCTGTGTGATTGGACTTCTGATCAAGGGAAGATTCGTCAAATTAATTCACAAGTGACTGATCAGTTTGATGCATGGATTGCATTTAAAAGCATATTCACAAGGTCAAGAATTTTGTTTGGCCTTGTTTCAGGGAGTGTTTTCCTCCTTTGTACTGGTGTTTTCTTCGTATTATATGGATGGGAATTTCTACACGAGGCATTGCTCTATCATCTTACTCGCACAGATCCAAGACATAATTTTTCCATCTATTTCTACCATATCTATCTTAACTATGAACGTGATCTTTCGGTTCTGGAAAAGCTCATCTCCTTTTTGCCTCAGTTTATAGTGCAGCTGGTTCTTGTTTTCTGCTTTGCTAACGATCTAGTATTCTGCTTCTTTGTACAGACAGTGGCATTTGTAGCATTCAATAAGGTATGCAAGTTTACATTCATAGCTTCACTTTGGACCTGGACATATCATCATAAACACAAAAACCTGTGGTTTCGTATTTATTCTCGATTTACTTCTTGGACAGGTCATAACAGCACAGTATTTTGTCTGGTTATTTTGCCTCTTGCCTCTTATTTTGCCATGGACCAATATGAAGCTTAAATGGAAAGGACTATGTTGTATTCTTTTGTGGGTGGGAGCTCAAACCCACTGGTTGTTGTGGGGTTACCTGCTTGAGTTTAAAGGCAAGAATGTCTTCCTACAGCTCTGGATGGCAAGCTTACTTTTTCTGGCTGCTAATACTTTAATATTGATCCTGCTTATCCGGCACCATAACTACACTCCAGTATTTAGACAGAATACAGGTTTAAAGACAACACAAAAAAAGTGCGAGTGAGAGGACAAAGTTCTCGCAAGTTGCAACCATCTCGGGTTATGGAATTTTCATCTAGTCAACAATGGTTACAACATACGAGCTTTATTTTTTTCCGGTGGTGATTTGCGGGCTTAGATTTCGAAGGATTTTCTTTGCAGAGCTTGTAAGACAAAACAGTTAGAGAGAAAGCGTGTCTTACAAAAATTTGGCCTATGGCTAAATCAAATAGTAGTATGGTTGAAGCCATCAATGAAGCATCAAAGTGAGAACATATTCCAGTTCATTTTTGTATATTTTGATGTTTGAAGGTTTCCATGTACTTATTGTGCTTACGGAAATTGAGGATCAAGTAGCTGGTTACTTAGTAGGATATTTGCTTACTAATATTATGCTATTTATTATTATTATTTTGTTATTTTGTATTTGAAGGAATACATACAATTTTGTAAAACTTGGAACTGGTTGACATGGTGAAATGCTGCCTGGTTGAGCAGCTACTTAAAGGATTATTATTGATAGCCCTGTTGGCTTGGCACTCTTTGGACGATAAAACCTGAACAAAATAATGAATTTCGAAACAAAAATAATAAAGTTTTGATTTTTTTTTATTTTAATCTTAAAATCTAAATCCTAAATTCTAAACTTAAATCTTAAATTTTAGACCTAAATCTTAAATTTTAAACTGTAAATAAGAACTCTAAATCCTAAAATTTGTTTTACAAAAAATATATATTTTAATCTTAAATTTTGAAGTCTAAAATATTAATATTTTTGACAAATTTTAAATATAATTCTAATTCTACTTAAAGGGGAGAAGGATGAGGGACTCTAGAAGAAAGAAGATGAATACTCCTAATGGGTCTAGAACCCACGACTTAAAGAATATGAGAAAACAAATATTAGCAGCTTGGTCAATCGACCCATGGTGCTTGCTCATTTAAAACACTAATCTTAAAATTCTAAATTTTAAAGTTTATGTTCTAAACTTTAAACTTTAAATTATATATTGTAATACCTAAGCACCTAAACTCTAATTAAGATCTGTTATCTTAAAATAACAATTGAATCCTTAATATGAGATAATTATCATATAAGTATAATACAAGAAAAATGAATAAAATATTATAATAACGCATATAATATGATAGAAGAAAATCAGTATAAAAATGCGATAAAGAGACAAAACTATCATAATTTATATAATTATTTAACATTTTTTTTTTTGAAAAAATTTACGAATTTGAGATGCATATATAAAAAAGTGAAATGAATCACTAAGTTACAGATGAAATGAATCAAATTAAAAAATTAGTTTATAATAATTTCATATAGTATTTAATATAAATTATTTGAATAAAATATTACTATAATTATAAATATATAAATGAATCTAACATTTTTGTCAATGTTAAAATGAATAAGTTGTGCAGGTATAACATGTGGACTGGAAAAGAATTGTCCAAAGAAACAAACAGCTCCAAAGTAACAAAATTTTAGTTTAGGTGATATGATTATGAATATAAAAAATATAACATTTGGGCTGTCGTTTATCCCATTCTCGTTGTGTTACTTCGTTCCCTCCTCACTAAACTCACTCTTCCTTCTCACTTCAACTTTCACTAATTTTCTCATTGTGGGGTTGTAAAATTCAATGGAAAATATGAATATGGCGTTGATTGCATCCTCCTGTTCACCTCCAAAGCTTTATCTCTTAGGACACACTAATAATAATAATCCTATCTATACTCTGAAAACCCCTATCAAAATCTTCACTTTTCCAACTTCCAGGATTGCTCCTCGTCGTTCCAGAATCTCCTGCTCCGCCCACACCACTCCTCCACGACGTCTCCCTCAAATTGGTTTTTCATTTTCTCTCTTATTTTTTAAAGTTTATTATAGTTTGATCTTATTCTGTTCCTCTGAGTGCAGTTTTCAGAAAATCTGGAGACGAAAGGTTTGCCAGCATTTCTTCTTCAAGTAATCAACGAACTTCTTCGGTTGGAGTCAACCCTTATCCAACAGTGCCACCGCCGTCCTCTCAAATGTAATTCAATTCATCGTTTTCCTTATGTTATCTTTGGTTTCTAATTTCTGCTTTTGAAAATGGGATAAAATGAGCTAACTTTTCAGGAAAAAAAACATTGCTTCAGCGCAGGATTAGAAAGTAGTAGTCTATATTAGAATTAATGTTGCATTTTAGTCATTTATCCATTTTGTGTTTCTCTAAGTTTCTTGGTTGTCATATCAGAGCCCTACCATGGTTTGTTAGATATATAACTCTTTTTTCACGGCCTTTGAGTTGTTACCGAGTCGTGCCTTAATATGTCTAAATTTATCATTGCATGGTTAACATTTTTTATGTGCTTAAAGTTTGACACTTAGTGGAGGAGGTCGCTGAATACTTTTGTTATTTCACTGATTTATGATATCCACCTTTCAATTATTTCACTAAGCAGCGAAGTAACAGGGAAGTGCATGTCATCACTTGATTTTTCACTAGTTGACATGCATATAATTTTCGCAGTAACTAATGCTATTTTGAAAGAAATTTGCTGATGCATATATTGACATAGCTAAATGGTGACCAAATAGGTTGTTCTATTACCTCATTGATACAGCTGCATTTCTGCTGCTCTCTTATGTTGCACTTTGGCTGCTTTATGGTTAAATTATACATTATGCCTCTTTACCAATAGTATTGTTGTACCCATGCATAGCCAACAATTTAATCATGCATGTACATGTTTTGGGCATGCTTTTAGTTTCTTGTGCTCTCTCTGTAATATTTAATAAAGCATTCTGTTACATTTGCAGGAAGAGAAGGTCCTGGCTTATCTGTTGATGCTTTAGAGAAAATGATGGAAGATCCAACAGTGCAGAAGATGGTTTATCCGTAATAAAATTTATTTTCCTCAAATATTTTATTTTTTCTGATTTTTTTATTGATGTCATCTTGGTGTACCTGAGGTGCAGTGTAAGTTTATGCTTCTTTCTTGCTACCCATTCTTCCATTCTGATTCTTTGGAATAATTGCAGAAGTAACAAAAAACTAGGTCCATGATATATCTTTCCAAAATTTAAAATTTTTTGGGCTTGGTATCTCAAATGTTGTGATGAATGAGCATGGAGCTAAATGACAATTTTAAAATATCAATCTTTTAAAACTAGTAGGCTTTCATTAACTTTTTGAGTACATGGAATGACCTGAATTAGATATAGTAATGAGTTAACTCCTCTGAAACCCCCTCAAAAGCCCGTAAGCTCTAAATCGTAGCATAAGATTTTTTTCACTTAAAACTTAGATAAGCAAACCTAACTTCCCCTTTTGCTTCCTTAATTGAGTTTCACTTCTGAAGTCATTTGTCACTGTACTTATGGGATAAAATTCAACCCCAAGTATTAGGAATCGGACTATCTAAAGATCAACTGTTGTATTAGAAGCAGACTTTCTGATGGTTTTTTAGGTTGATATAACTACCAAGAAAAGGAAAGGATAGGGAGAGGGTGTATGGATGGAAAGTGATAAATTCCACTTTACTACCTTCAGTTGAGTCCTAATAGCACCTCTAAAAATACAATTCCTCCAATTAAAATCTGTGTTTTAAAAATTCTTTTATGCATAGACTTCTTCCTGGTGCTCTAGCACTTATTTTTTTTTAACGGAATTGACCCTTTTATTGCAATCTGCTATTTATTGATAAGGAAATTTAATCTTTTATTTATTCATACAGATACTTGCCTGATTAAATTTGGAACCCTGAGACATTTAAGTGTATGTCCATGCTTAACCACTTTTTCCTGCTTTGTTTTTCTGTTCTTTTCTTTATGGATGAGGATTGAGGAAGATGGGTGGGGAGGTTGGAATACAGAATGGGTTTTGTGTGGTCTCTATAAAATTTATATGTTAAAAGCATTGATGGTGTTCTGTCTCCAGTCTGGTTAAATTTGATATCAGACTTTCCAGCTTTTGTAAAACCTTTTTTTTATGCCAAGGGGTTTGGTGTCTGTATATCATGCTTAGAGTCGGTTCTAAGTAATTTCCACAGGTTTCTGAATCCTGAAATGCTTGCTTTATTTCCCTGAAGGAAGTTATTTACTTTCTTAAAAGTGATTTCTCCGTTTAATATATAAGCATGCTTAAATTTTATAGATGGTTTTTTAATATATATTAATTGTCTTTCTGTTGCACATATTTTTTACAGGAATGCTACAAAATCCTCAATACCGTCAACAACTGCAAGACATGCTGTAAGCTTTTTTCTGACTTCTGCAGTTGATTATTTTTATGAGCCTGTCTTTCTCTTGATTTAGAGTTTTAAGCATTGCCTCCAAAAAGTTAACATGTTTGCTTCGGATTTTATGTAATGTTAATTGTTGCATGATTCCTGGTCTTGATTTTAAAAATTAAAAGTTCGGATAGATGGAGCCAGAATGATACTGGTTTGGTACAATTTTAAAATGCTATTGAGTTCTCATTAGCATTTTCCTAAATGTTTATATTGTGCTTGAAGAGTAAGAACTAGGAATGATAATTATCTAGAGTCCACGTGTGAAATTAGCACAACAACGTAGTGAACATCGGCTTTCTGATTACCTTGTCATACACATTCATGGATGCCTTTCTCAATCCTTTGTTTCTATTTTTCTGTTGTCACGTCTCATATTTTATGAATTTTATTGGATGCCAGGTATTTAGTTTTACGCTTGTCTAATTTTTTCTTGATTTTCATTAACTTTCAATCAATCAGGAGGTCATAATTTTTGGGGGTTCATCGATGCTTTTTTTTATAATACACATAAAGGGTAACATTATACTCTTACTCTGCTCAAAAGTCATTATTTGTGTAAAATATTCCCTACCTTGAGTTTCTTGCAATTAATGTTGAAAGATATGTGTCGTGATTTAAGATGAAACTTATTAACTTGATGTGAATTGATGCTGATCTCTGTTCATTTTCTCCTAACATGTGTTAAGGTTACTATTAATTTTCTTGTTATCTAGAATTGGTTGAGTTAATGGCCAATTCACATACTTATGTGTACGCCTTGATAATTTTTTCAGAAATAATATGGGTGGAAGTTCTGAATGGGACAATAGGATGATGAATTCCTCGAAAAATTTTGATCTCAACAGTCCTGATGTAAAGCAGCAATTCGGTAAATTTGAACCATTTATTGAAGTTTTCAAATGCTTGGGATAAGATATGAATTCCTTGATGTATATTTTAATTATTTTTTATTCTTTATGTGTTATACCCGTAGTTTTTAGATGGTCTGGTCCTCTCATGGTAAAATATAGTTTATTACCTGAATAGGGGTTTAATATCTTCCTTTCCCATTTGCAGACCAGATTGGGCTATCACCTGAAGAAGTGATATCCAAAATAATGGCTAATCCTGAGTTTTGCCATGGCGTTCCAAAACCTTAGAGTTTAACCAGCTATAATGGATGTATGTTCTATCCGGTTTATCGATGAATTGTTAATTCTCTCTCGATGTCATGCATGGATACTAAATCTTCAGTATTAATGTTCTTTTCCCTTTGCTGCTTTTCCCAGTGTTCACAAAACCCACTGAGCATTGCAAAATACCAAAATGACAAGGAGGTAATCTAGGCCTTATATCCACATTTTATGTTTAATATTTAAAGTTTCATTGATCGGCTAACTGATAATGATTCGGAGAGTTATTGCATCTATCTGCCCCTTTAAGCAAAATTCTCTTCTTTCCTTAATAACTGTATGTTGTCAATTTTTATTAGTGCCAAATTATTTGAAACGATTGAAAATGGCCTCTTCTTTTTGTTCAAAGATCAGGTTGCTTTTTGCTTCTAGTGCACTTGTCTGATATACATGTGAAAACCAACATGTTCACTTACATGCAAATGTATTGCTTTTACTGTTCCAATGAGGGCTGCAAAGTACTGGATGTGGCACATCTGATTATTGTTTAATCTTTGCTGCCTTTTTCTGGCTCTTTGTCATGGCTGATATGGATTTTAAAGTTGATTTCTTGGTACGCCTTATTGTTGATACGATTTGTTTTTGCATTTCAGTTTATGGATGTATTCAACAAAATATCAAACTCTTCCCCGGAGTGACCGGGTCACCTTGATTTGGTTGTTCACTGAAGTCACTGTTCTCTGAGTATAATTTATGTCAGATGGTTGAGTTGATTGAATATTGGAATCTTACATCACTTGTTCTGGTTTTGTTTTTAGTTTTAGAATGAACGATATCAATGGGTTGTATTCCGAACATTCACCTTTTACTGTATTATCTAGAGAGGTTCCATTAGCTGTAGTTGAAGTTGAATGCTTATTTTCACAACTGGGTTTATACAGAAAATAACTGTAAATGGTTGCGCTTTATAACTGAAGTTACTTTCCTCACGTCGAGATAAGAGGCAATATTATTTCTTTTACAAGTCTAGGATGATTTTACAGCAGCATTTATTCAGAATTTTTTAGTCTATCAATAATATGCACACATTCTACAGACGGTTTGAACCTGAAATTTTTAGAAAGAACACCGTTATCGAGAGAAGAGGCAATGCTTGCTCGAGATCATTATTCAAACTTGTTGGATGTCATTTGCATAAAATTAATTTAGTTAAAAATAAAAAAAAAGGATCCCTTAGCTAGCTGGGAATTGGCTTCAATGGCACAAAGAAAATAAAAAGAACATTACAAAAACCAAATAATAGTTTTGACAGAATATCGTTGAGAGCCAAAACAATCTTATCATAGCACTGCAAAATCTGGGATTCATCTTCATCCCTTGCTGCATAATCCAACTGCAATGTTCAAAAAACCAAAATAATAAATACACAATCAAAATCAAAGCAAACACACAAGGAGAAAAAGAATAAAAAAATATTTACAGCAATCATTACTCTGGTAACACTGTTGAAAAGATTAGAATAAAGCTTCCTAAGTTGAGGCCTTTGATTTCCAGGTTTCCCTTGAATAATAGTATAAATATCCTGCTTCAACAATGAAGAACTCTTCCTTAACTCCTTCTGAGCTTCACGCCATGCCTTGGATTCAATCAAATCTTTGACTTTCAGTAAAGCTTTTGCATGATTTTGAATCCCATTTTCTGCTTCTTCAACAGTCTGGTCTGGTGTCATCATTCTCAGGTCAAGTTCAAGTCCATTAACAGTGTTCTCTTCCTTCTTCAATAGTAAAGAAGAAGCCATTGTTGCTATGAGTAGGACTCCCACCCTTCTTTTCATGTTTGAGTGGATAAGCTTTTTTGCCGGCATTTCCTTGCAGTATTTCATCCCGCTGGGTTTGCTGGATCTGGCGATTAAGGTTCGTGAACAGTATGGTGGGTTATACTTTGAAACTAGAATTGGTCTTAATGCCATCATTCCTTCGAACTATACCTTGAATTTTAGAGATTTAGTATATTATTTCTGCCAGATTTGGAGAACAATATCTGTAACAGGTCAGGCGGCCTAAGACATTTTCGACATAAAACCTTGGGCAAGTCCGAGAAATAGGGGTTTAAAAAGAAGAAGCAGGGAATATAAAACTAAGCTTTTGATTCGTGAGGCAACATCGGGAAGAAGAAAACGCAGTAGGAAGAAGGTGGGGTTGGAGTTGAGTTTGAGGTTGCTGGTGACGATGATGATGATATACACTGCAGTGAATGTGACTTCTTATCCTTTCATGCTTTTAGTTTTCTTCCATAGGGTAATTTCAAGAAGTAAAGATAGTATTTTTACATCAGGTCTGGAAAAGAAGAAGGATTAAACTCTTAAGGTCATGACAAGATTGCTGGATGATTTGTTTTACAAGTCTAATACCTGAGTTATATCTCTTTTACATCCAAGTTAAATGCAATCAAACGATTTGTTTGCTTTTTTTTTTTCATTAAAAACTTCAAATGAAACGAAGTTGATTATAAAATTCAAATAAGTATAATACATTCATCCCAAATCCAAAAGTTATAAAAAAAGCCGAAAGGTTGTACAAACTAGAATACGACCAATGAAGTCAAAGCCGATAACACGATTTGCACATCATTTAAATCACATGGAGAAGAGGCAACAGAGGTGCACCACAAGCATGATCTTGAACTGGAAATAACTTTGACATGATGAAGCCTAACATGCAAAGATTAGAGTTAAGACTGAATCACTGTGAAAAAGAATAAAGGAGGAATCGACCCCATAGAAAGAGGTACCGACTCAAGACAAGGAGTTCCTCATCTGTGAAAATATTCTGAAAACAATACTCATGAATTCTCAATTAATCCTACTTCTCTTGATCGAATACAACAAAACCATAGAGACAACAAAACCATAAAACATGACAAAAAAAATATAACAAAAGAAATTCAAATTTCAATGTCTCCTCTCCTTCTTATTGAGAGCCAGCCCTAATAAAAAAAAACCAACTATTAAGAGTACAGTTTTAGGAGAGGATCAATTTATAAAATACTAAGGACATAAATAAATTAGTAATAAAAATATTTAAAATATATGATAATTTAAAATTTTATGATACGGTTGTTCCGTTCCTCCCCTAGGTCATCCCTAATAATGACTTACATAGACACTAACCAAGGCTCAAGCCCATGACACCAAAAAGATAGAACCTTGAATGTCAAGATGACAATAATGGAAAAGGATAAAAGGCATCAACAATCTCGTCTAAACTGTCAACAATATAAAAAGAGTAACATTAAAAATTAATAGAGAATTCAAAAGATGATCGGGACAAAAATAATAACAACGCCACCATAATAAATAGGATCATACTAAAAGAGAACATGAGAAAAGGTGAGTGATGTCAACTAGGATCATGACCGCTCATGCACTCAAAAACTCACAAAAAGTGTAAAAAAAGAGAGGGAAAAGACAGCCTAACATAAGAAATTGAGCTTGGTTTTGCATTTTCTTTTAAAACATCATATTGTTTGATTTGTCTTTTAATAGTCCATATATATATATAGAGAGAGAGAGAATTAGTATCTTATATATATATATATATTTGTTATAAAGAGAATTTGTCAATATACTATCATCCATGGACACAATACTCATACAACGTGCATAGGACCTCATCGTGAGACAATATAAATATGTATAAATTGAGAATCTTTTATACAATCAATAGAATTATCTCACTAACGAGCATGTTCTCTTTCCTATAATAATTTTTTATTAGTACTTCATAATTAAGATCAAACATCACCTTGATTGTTACAAAAAATTATAGTAATGTTCAGATACTCAACCATTGACATATCTTACAAAAAATTAAAAAAATATTACATCCCATAATTCACTTATTTATCCAAACATTCACAAATTTTCTGTTATCTATATTCCAAATAATCTCATTATAAACATCATCTCTCACTCAACTTAATATTTTTTTTAAAGTTGAGGTCATCATTTGACAGATGTCATCTTACTTCTACATTGAACAAAAAAATATTATCTCACAAAGAATCGAGTTTTATAATCAACAGATACCTCACTTCATGAGAAAAATATTATTATAACACTCTAAACTTTTAAAACACAATCCATTGTCCTTAATAGTAAGAAAGAAAAAACATCGATGACACTCCAAAAAATGAAAACCTTATTTTTTTAAAGTGTGATATTATATTAAGAATTTATAAGAAAAATAATTAAAATAAGATCAACATAAAATATGATATGCACAAGAAAAAATATTTAATATAATTTGATCTTGTCTACCTCCATAAATGAGATAACAATAATTCACTATAATTGTAGAGACCACAAAAATATATAAATACGTAGAATTTTTTTGTATCTCAAAACATTCTTCCAATTTTTGTAAAAAAAATTATCTCTACAATATAAACTTCAATAATTATAGATAACATAAAAGAGATTATATCTCTAGTCCGAATGTTTTTTAGATGTATAGTTGTGTTATATATTAACATTTTATATTTAAATATATTTTTAAAAAATATGGAACTTATTCGTGTAACCCGTGAAAAAATCATTTTGTTAGATTAAAAAAATATTTCTATTAAATGTTTATATATTTTATAATTGGATTTGAATAAAATTATTTTTTATTATCATATAATTACTTTATTTGATATAAAAGACAAAAAAAATTAATCAAATAATTAATTAAATGGAAATTTTAAATACATTTGTCAAATTCAATCCGGATCAAACGGGATTTATCGAGCAGAGCGGGTAGTAGTCCCGACGAAGAGGTTTGCGTCCGTAGAATGGAGTAAATACACCTGCATGTAGCTTATCACTCACCCCCTCCCCACCAACAAAACCCTGTGTGTAGTTCTTCGCGGGACTCTTCTCGTTCTCAATTCTCTCCTGTTATTGTCGATACCAGAAAAATGAGAAACAGAGACAAGTCTAAAACCCTAAATCAATCCTCTGGTAAGCATTTATGTTCCAAATTTATTTACTTATGTCACAATTTCAAACTTTCCCGTGTTCATTTATTTTGTTATTTGTTGGTTTTCCCAAAAAAAAATCAATCTTTAGTTGTCATAAAATATTTCATATTGTTATACAAATTAAGATGGAAACTGGGTTTACTTTTTTAAGAGGTAACTGGGTGGAAAGTGTTTTTCTTTTTCTTCTTTTGGTAAATTACATAAAAAAGCAAATTTTATTGGAATTCTAGCATTTTTCAGGAAAGGTAGAATTTTGATAGATTGAAATGTTTATGGTGATTTTATATGTTGGAAAATAAAATTTGGAACTTTTTAGTTTTATTTTTTATTTGATGTGTATTTTTCTTCTTCTAGATGCTTAGTTTGTCCATAAAAACGGGGGAACTAGAAATTTTGAGCTTAATGAGGTTTATCATTGGAGACATTATAGTGACTTCTATTCCAATTTTGAGCAGGGAAGTATAAAAGGAAAGCTACGTGTGAATCAGAAAATGGGAGTTCTTTGGGGTCAATTCATGATGCTGGTTTGTTCAATGTTATATGCCTTTTTTTAGTTATTTATCATTTATTGTTTGTTAGCTTCTTCTTTTTGTTATAATGGTTGATGAAAACTAAAATAAGAGCTCTTGAGTGCAGAAACACTTGCTGGGAAATCACAGGAGGGAGTGAACAAACATCTAAGACGTTCAAGTCGACTGGGTTCTTCAGAGAAGAAGGAACACAATGAATTTGCCCCGAAGAATGACCCAAAAACAAATGAAGAAGAAGTTGTGCATACAATGGTTGCACAGAATGCTTCAAACTCTAAAGATTGTTGTGGAGATGCCATAGGAAGTTCTCAATTAGAAGTTGGTGTTGGAAGTCATAAAGATACCCTTTCCGATGATATTGAAGACATGAATGACTCAGATTGGGAAGATGGTTCAATTCCCAAATTGGATACTGTAGTTCATTCTCCAAATGAACGTATGAATGGGCTAACTATCGAATTTGATGAACCATCAGGTTCAGCTGGGCGGAAGCCTGTTCGTCGAGCTTCTGCCGAAGATAAGGTGCATTACATTTCTTCTATTGATACTAAACATTGGGTTTAGTTGATGGAAATTCTTTGCAGTTTCATGTTTTGAACCCTAAAAGATGTCTGCTTTTTCAAACAGGAATTGGCTGAACTTGTGCATAAGGTTCACTTGCTTTGTTTGCTTGCGAGGGGCAGATTAATTGACAATGCCTGTGATGATTCTCTTATTCAGGTTGATTTTCTGATCCTTGTATTATGCCTCAAGACAATTGTTCGAACAGATTCCAATTTCTGAAAAGAATTCTGATTGCATTGACAGGCTTCTTTACTTTCTCTACTTCCTACTGACTTATTAAAGATATCGGAGATCTCAAATATAACCGCAAATGATTTGTCTCCTCTTGTCACTTGGGTGCGTGTATTTTGAGTTTTGTCTAGAGACTACTTTGATTATTTAATTAAGCTATTTATGTGATTGTGACTGACATAAAATTTGCAGTTCCATAATAACTTTCATGTCAGAAGCTTGGTTCGTGCTGAAAGATCATTTCGTACTGCTTTGGCCATTGCTCTTGAAACTCATGAAGGGACTTCAGAAGAGGTAGTTTCATCTTGTTCTGTAATCCAACTTCTTATCTTATTTTTATCATTCTAGCTAATGAAGTGTAGGATAAAAAGCTACCTAATGGGATCTTCTTTGTTTTGCTGAATGTCGTAGTGTTCACTTATGCATGATGGATCAGAATTGGCTGGTGTGATTAACTCTGTTTCTGGAAATACTGTAATTTATGATACATCTGTGTGCTACATGTCACATAAGAATCCTTATAACGGCTATATTGATGAGTTCTCATTGGTTGTTTCCTTGTAGATTGCTGCGTTATCTGTGGCATTATTTAGAGCTTTGAAGTTTACAACACGGTATGATGCCACTACCAAAATGTGTTGTTTTCTGGTAATTGATAGTGCACCTGAGCAAGTTATTTAAAATTCTTTAATTTCTTTAAATTTTATAGGCCACCAACTTGACCTCTTGATGGTGATCTACCTTTAGCAAAAATCTATTCTTTCTTAGTTTCTAATATTACAATGCCTTCATAAACATTTTGTGTGGATAAGTAACTTGTTTATAAGGTTAGGGATTAATAGAATTTTTCCTCTAAATCATATTACCCCTAAACTGGTGGTGATCAGCATTAATTAAAAAGGTTTTTTTTTTTCACTAGCTGATGTTCCTGTTATTATTGTTGGGTGTCATCTTTAACTTTTGTTCCTCTATAATGAATATCAAAAGTTTATTGTTCAAAGACTTGTTTTCAACTAAACAAATACAAGGAAGCTTGTCTGGATGGATCCAATTAAGAGAACCATGACTATGTTTGAGACTTATTATTTTGCTAATGTTTTATGCAATTTGCACTAAGATTCAAAGAATCTGGATTGAGTTAAAGAGGATAGAAACAAATAATGGATGATTTGAACAAGAGAATTCATACTACTTTTGCTATCCTTTGAAATATGTAATTAATTCATTTTGGGCTTTGGTGATCAGAATGCTGAAGTGTATAATAATTGATCTAGGCTCGGGTGGCCTTTGTCTGTTTTGGTTGAGATTTTTTTTCTTTCTTCTCTCTCTATTCCTTGTAGGGTTTTGGTTCATTTCATTCATCAGTGTCTGTTATCGTGCCGTCACAAAGGAGCTTCTGTTTGATATTTTCTTTCTGCCGTTTTATTCAAGCTCAAATGCCTTCTTTTTGGTCTTGGACGATGTGCTCTTTTCTTTGTTTTTGTGTAGTCATTTGTAAAGTTGTTTAAAGTGTCAATCTTTTCCCTCGAAAGTCCAGATTGTAGAGTTGGTTGAGGTAAAACAATGCTCAATCTCATGTTAGTCATATTATACCTCTTTCAGGTTTGTGTCCATTTTGGACGTTGCCTCCTTAAAACCCGAGGCTGATAAATATGAACCTTCAAGCCAAGAGGCAGATAGAGTGGGTGGAGGGATATTCAGTACTTCAACATTGATGGTGGCTAATCCAAAAGGAGCTTCTGTTTCTGCTTCTCCGGTTAAATCATCCCCATGCAGTGAGAAATATCATCGTTGTGAAATTTCTTTGAGGAGTTCACAAAGAAGTAAGGGTGGCTGCTCAACAGGCAATGCCACTCAATTCAGATGTTCTACTTCTGTCGATGAATTGGCTGATGAAAAATCAATCTGTCAGGTGCAGTCGGATACATTTGGACAATCTGTTCCTATGAATTCTCAGGGGTTGAAGAGGAAAGGGGATTTAGAGTTTGAGATGCAGTTGGCAATGGCTCTTTCTGCTTCTAGTGTTGAAACTCATGCAAATATTCATGGGTCATCAGATGTGAAAATATTAAATGGTAATAACTCATTAGAAACATCTACGCCTACAAAGAGATGGAAAAGGATCAAAAGAGTAGAACCTGCTTCTTGCTCCCAAGGACTTTCTACTGCACTTGGATCAAGAAAAGTAGGGTCTCCACTTTTTTGGGCAGAAGTGTACTGTGATGGTGAGAACTTGACTGGGAAGTGGGTGCATGTGGATGGTGTGAATGCTATCATAGACGGAGAGCAGAAAGTCGAAGATGCAGCTACTGCGTGCAAAACATCGTTAAGATATGTAGTTGCGTTTGCAGGCCGTGGGGCTAAAGATGTGACCCGCAGGTTTTGATTCCTTCCCAATTATGCGTTTGTTTTTTTACATTGGGATGCATGTGGCATTCTAAGAGAGAGAGTTTTGGTTTGGGGTGTTCATTTTTTGGTTTTAACTGAATTAACCAACCGAACCAAATTGGTTTGGTCAGTCACCGAATTAGTTCGGTTGGGGAACGGTTAACATTTTTTTCAATATTCGATTAACGGTTAATTCGGTTTGAAATCGGTTAATTAACCGATTTAACCGAATTAACTGAAATTATTAAATATGAAATATTTTTTATATATTAAATACATATTTTAAGCTCAAACTCATTAAGAATTAAGACTCAATTATTTTTTAACCACACTAAACTCATTAAATTATCAATACCTAATTAAAATTTTAACCCAAATAAAAAAAATACTTTTATTATATTCAAATTAATCTAATTAAAAAATTAAAAAAAAATTCGGTTAATTTGGTTAACCGACCGAAATAACCGAACTTTGTTTGGTTCGGTTAACGGCTAAAGAAAAAAAGTTCGGTTAATTCGGTTCGGTTGGTGGTCGAATTAACCTTTGAACACCCCTAGTTTTGGTAATTGTTTGCAGTGTTATATATATATATATATATATCTTCTAGGGCCTACTTTTGAACTTTTCATCTATTTTAGTTCAAATGACATTCTGACTGCTTTCCTGCTCCCAGTGGACCTCTCTTTTTGAATTAAGATGTATTTTCTTGGAGATCTATACGTTCATGAAAACATTTTTGTCAAAATAAGACTCGGGGATTAATATAATAATAGAAAGGCTCTCAGATGCTTTTGCCTACCACCCAGTTAGTTGGCCCTGAAAGGGATTTCATTTACTTTGTATGTTATTATTACCAATTGGATTTGCTAATACATTTATAGTACAGGTATTGCATGAAGTGGTACAAAATAGCCCCAAAACGAGTTAATTCAATTTGGTGGGATTCCGTGTTGGCTCCTTTGAGGCAGTTAGAGTCAGGAGCAACTGGGGGTACAATTAATTTGAAAAAACTCCATAATAATGCCTCAGATGAGCAAGAGAAAATCAAAGCATCTGAATATTCAGGTGAAGATAGTTGTTCAAACCATGTCAACTTACCTGAGAGGTCAGGTCAAGAAACTTCCAAAGAGTTCAGTAGTAAGGTCGAAGTTGAATCTTCTGTAAAGAACTCTATTGTTGCCACCAGGAACTCTCTGGAAGATATGGAACTTGAAACTAGGGCACTAACTGAGCCCCTTCCCACTAATCAGCAGGTATAGTGTTTGTTTGGTCCAATCAATGTAGTTCTTTGAAGTTTCTATCCTAGATGTGCTTTTTTAACTTTCTTCCATACTTCACAGGCCTATAAAAATCATGCATTGTATGCACTTGAAAGATGGCTAACAAAGTATCAGATTCTACATCCTAAAGGTCCAATTCTTGGTTTCTGCTCCGGTCATCCAGTTTATCCTCGCACCTCAGTGCAAACTCTCAAGACAAAAGAAAGATGGCTGCGCGAAGGGCTGCAGATTAAAGGCAACGAGGTTCCTGCAAAGGTTTGAATTTATGGTGTACTTGCTTCTGCATTAATTTTCATTTTGGTTAATCTGAATAAATTACAACTCACAACTGATTTTCCTCAGATATTGAAGCGTTCTGCAAAACCAAAGAAAGCTCGAGTTTCTGAAGAAGATGACTGTGATGAGATTGATTACAAAGGTATTGAACTTTATGGGAAGTGGCAGCTGGAGCCACTGTGCCTCCCCCATGCTGTTGATGGAATTGTGCCAAAGGTGATTGCTGTTACTTTCTTGTGGATGCCATGAAAGTGCATATTTGAATAAACCATTAACTTAATCATTTGTGTTGTGACCTCTGCAATCAATAAACCTTCCTTGAAGCAAATCATTAACTGGTTGCTAATTCCCATCCTTTTATGGTTACCTCTGCTAGTGCTGTTTTCCTATTGTTCTTGGATACTAAATGTGAAGATTCATTTCAACGGCGGATGAACCGTTTCCTTTTTCAAGAAAATATTGCCGCAAAACAAATAGTTTTCCATAATTTCCATCTCAATATTTAAAGACTCAAGTCCTATCTGAAATTAATTTGAAAACGAATAGGGCACTCAAGTCATTCCAGTCCACATAACCATTAGTCTTTGAAATTCATTTTCCTCTTAGTTTTTTTTCAAATCTTTTTATTTTTCTGACGTTGGATCCCTATGTTTGATACTAGAATGAGCGCGGTCAAGTTGATGTGTGGTCTGAGAAGTGCCTTCCACCAGGGACTGTTCACATAAGGTTACCGAGGGTATTTGCTGTTGCCAAGAGGCTGGAAATTGATTATGCTCCGGCCATGGTCGGTTTTGAGTTTAGAAATGGTCATGCTACTCCTGTCTTTGATGGAATTGTGGTCTGTACAGAGTTCAAGGATGCGATACTAGAGGTAACTACACCGAACCTAATGATTGAGATAAATTATTAAACATAGGCCTATCAAACCTTACTTGAACTTGGAAAATCCATCCAAACTCGATCCCTAATTAATAGTCGTGGCTCCTCCCTTTTTCCTCTAGGCTTATGCTGAAGAAGAAGAGAGAAGAGCGGCTGAAGAGAAGAAACGGAATGAAGCACAAGCTACCTCAAGATGGTATCAGCTTCTGTCGTCTATTATAACTAGACAAAAGTTAAACAGCTATTATGGAGACTGTTCGCCATCACAAGCATCCAGAGATGTCCAAATTACAAATGAAATAAAAGCTCCAGTCGAAAGTAACCAAGATGGAAGGCAATCTACAGGCCATCTGAAAGGAGATAACAGAGGTACTGTGTATGCCGCTTCATCGGGAGTACTAGATGTAGGGCATGAACATGTATATTTAACCAAAAATGAAAGTTTCGATGGGGAGAACTCAGTCACAACAAAGCGATGCGAGTGTGGATTTTCAATCCAAGTGGAAGAACTATAGCATGTCAGGTGGTCAATCCAATAGTGGAAGAATTGTCGGACACCAATTTTGCATATAAGTGGACCAAGATTGCTACTGGGAAGCTGCCTATTTTGACAACCAAACTGGATATTGCTTTCTGGTAATATAATACCACATGGACAACTTCCATTATTTGTTTTAGCTAAGCTGTTGTAAGTAATCATGGACCATCAATGATGAACGTACGTTAAAGACGATGAAGTTTTATTTTTACTTTTGTTCCCCCAGGTGATCCCTGTTTGTTGTTTTTACACACAGAAACTGAGCTCATTATAAGGTGGATTTGTATTGTATTAGGATACAAGTTTGGATGAAGTAGGTATCTATGGCAACTGTAAGCCCTTCCTAAAGCTATTTTCTTTTTTCTTTTAAATAAATTGAATGATTACAGCTTTTTTTTATTATAAATCTATTTCTTATTAATTAGGTTAAAATATACTATTTTTTAAAATAATGGCACACTAATCAAGAACTTGAATTCAAACTTAAATATATTTAAATGATATTAAATTATTTACCACTTAAACAAATTCTGTTGATAATATTATTTATGAAAAAGATGGCACTATATTAAATAATTCTAAAAGATTTAAAATGAAATTATTTTGTTAAAATGAAGTCTAAAGTTTAAAATCTACGAAGGAAAAAACGAGAATCAAACCGAAATCAATCTAAAAGATTTTAAAAAAGGATCAAATTAATCCAAACACACACACACAGTATTGTTGTCTTAATAACCCCAATTTGATTACTCAAATGTCAACATTTGGACATATTTGACACTCGTAGCGCGTGTAATAGTTAATTTCAGACTATTTGTTGAACATAGCTCAGACAGTTGGATAGTTTTGTAACTGAATACTAGTTTGTTAGTTAGTTACACATAATATTTAGTTTTGTATATATATATATACCAAATGTAAACTTTACTAAATATACATGAGAAATTATTCTACCCATATTCTCCTGATTTATCTCATATGAAAATATTTGGCTACTTGTGTTATGCTTCCAATCTTACTAATCGTGATAAATTTTCTCTAAAAACTATGCCTGCAGTGTTCAGAGGTTATTCTGCCACACAAAAGGGTTATGTTCTTTTTTTTTTTAGCTTCCAAAAAATCTTTTGTCAATAGGGATGTGATTTTTCATGAAGATGTATTTCCTTTTCGGTTTTCTCTTAAAGAATCATCCTTATTTTTTCAGTCCTCTGATTTTGCTGATTCTGATTTTCTCACTCTTGATGATGGTTTTTCTATTCAGTCACCTATAGCATATTTGGCTTCCTCTGTTTCGTCACCTATTGCAGATTTGTCTTCCCCTCCTTCATCACCTATGACAGATTTGCTTTCACCAATGTCAGCATCACCTAATGTTTCTAATCAGCCCTTAAATTTGGAGTCTCAGTCTACTCTTGAGTCCAATTCTCAGTCTAATCTTGATGTTCAAATTCCTTTAAAGAAATCTAGTAGGTCTACTAAGCCTCCCTCTTGGTTAAATGATTTCGTTCAATCCTACCAATCCTCTGCTACTTCCAGTAACTTTCCTATTTCTCAATCCATTTCTTATTCTCATTGACCACCTCACACTCAATGTTTTATTCCTTCCACCTCACATTTTGTTGAGCCTAAAACCTTTTCAGAAGCTGTTCAAAATCCTTTGTGGATCCAGGTTATGAAAGAGGAGATTAGTGCTCTTGAATCTAACAACACGTGGTCTGTGGTTCCCTTGCCATCTAATAAGACACCAATTGGTTGCAAATGGGTGTATCGTGTCAAATATAAAGCCAATGGTGATGTGTAGCGGTTTAAGGCTCGTCTTGTTGCTAAAGGGTACACCCAACATGAGGGAATCGATTATGGTGAGACATTCTCTCCGGTTGCCAAGCTTGTTATTGTTCGGGTAATCTTGGCACTTGCTTCCATTCATGGTCAGCCTTTGTATCAAATGGACGTTTACAATGCCTTCTTACAAGGGGATTTGCATGAAGAGGATTATATGATGCAACCAGAAGTTTTTTTTGCAGCCATGGGGAGTAAGGTTTGTAGGCTGCAAAAATCTCTCTATGGTTTGAAGCAAGCTTCACGGCAATGGAACATGAAGTTAACTGAAGCTTTGCTAAGAGAAGGATACCAACAAAGTAAGTATGATTATTCTTTGTTCACCAAAGTGAAGGGTAAAAATATTGTCATTTTACTTGTATATGTCGATGATTTGCTAATTATTGGCAGCGATGAAAACTTGATTGGAGAGTTGAAGGATATCTTGAATAGAAGTTTTAGAATGAAAGGTCTAGGAGAATTAAAGTATTTTTTGGGTTTTGAAGTTCTTAGATCAAAGGAGGGGATTGTCTTAAATAAAAGAAAGTATGCATTGGAATTAATAGCAGACACTGGTTTGAGTACTACTAAACCTGCTCCAACTCCACTAGAACAAAACAAAAAGTTAACTACAGTGGAGTATGATAAAAGCCAAGAAATAGTTGAAAGTGGTAATCATGTGCTGCAAGATAAGACAATGTTTTAAAGGTTGGTGGGAAGATTAATGTATCTTACTCACATCAGGCTGTACATAACCTTTGTTGTGCATTTTTTGAGTCAATTTATGCATCAGCGCAAAGAATCACATCTAGAAGCTGCTATGAGGGTGGTGCGATATGTAAAACAAAGTCCAGGACAAGGAATCTTGCTTGATGCATCAAGTAAAAGCCAAATCATTGCATATTGTGACTCGGATTGGGGAACATGTCTCATGACCAGAAGATCAGTAACTGGATTTTGTTTAAAGCTTGAAAATTCTCTTATTTACTGAAAGTCAAAGAAGCAAAGTAATGTAGCAAGGTCTTCAGTCGAAGCTGAGTATAGAAGTATGGCTGTAACGACGACAGAAGTGACATGGCTGCAAGGTTTACTGAATGAGCTTGGAGAAAAGAAAGTAGGAGCAACGAGACTCAAATGTGATAGCAAAGCAGCACTTCAAATAGCTGCAAACCCGGTTTTTCATGAGAGGACAAAGCATATAGAGATTGATTGTCACTATATTCGTGAAAAGATTTAAGACGGCAACATACAAACAGAACATGTTTGTTCGAATGAGCAGCTGGCAGATTTGATGACTAAAGCTCTGAGAGTACATCAACATGAATATTTGGTTTCCAAGTTGGTGGTTAAAGATGTCTTCCAACCACCAACTTGAGGGGGGAGTGTTGAACATAGCTTAGACAGTTTTATAACTGAATACTAGTTTGTTTATTAGTTACACAAAATATTTAATTTTGTATATATATATATATATATATACCAGTTGTAAACTTTACTAAATATACATGAGAAATTATTATACCCATATTCTCCTGAGTTTTAACATTATTTTCTTAAACTTAAAAAAATAATTTCACAATATTAATAGACAGCAGATAATATTAGTCAACAAAACATATGGCATAATAAAAGTTGTACATATTCAATTTGCAATCATATTCATGCTCAGTATGAATATGAACAAGTCATGATTAATATGATCACTAATCATCAACATTAACTTCAAACATAAGGAAGCTTCAAGTAAACTATAACAGATTCTACAACACTTAAAACAATAAACAAGCAATGAAGCACCGTGCAAATTCTACAAACATACTCCAACACTAAGCACCACTACAACTCTTCCTTAATATCCAACACTCAGTTCAGTCAATGGCGAAGCCTTGACTTAGGAGGGTGGCCTCTAGGCTTTGCAATGGAACCTTGGATTTTGGAGGCCTATGTGGGGGATGATGCACATGTTGGAAGGTCGTGTCATTTCTCGTAAATAAAATTCGGATAAAAACAGTGTATACTAACAGAACCATTCATTATCTTGTTATTAGGATAACCTTATTTTAAGATATTTTAATTAATAAGTTATCTATTTTAGTATGTTAATTGTTGTTATTATAATTATTTGGATGATATCAATTCTTCCTACATATTTAAATTTTAAGTATAAAAAGTAAGTATGTCAATTTAAGAGTATCAATTTTATTAAAGTTCTATTATTATATTCTAGATTTTTTTTTATAATGAATAAGATTTTATTTTTTTATTAAAAAAATGCCAATAAAACTCCATATTCTTTATAGTATTAATCATTATTATTTAATACATTTTTAACCCACCGATTTATATCTAACACGTAATTAATCCATTTGTAAGTACGGTCTCAAACTTTTGGCCACCACAGCAATTTTCACCAATTTTTAACCATTTTCTCTCGACAATAATTTCGTGAGTGATTTTACTACTCAATCAGATGTCAAAGAAGAGAATGAAATAAAGCACACTAATAAGATTTTTCATTAAGGAAAACAAATAATGTGCATAAACTTCCGTATTAGAACAAATTCTAACGTGATTTATTTGAGAGCTTTTGGGTAAAAAAGAAATTGGATAATTCAAGCAAAGTCGACAGATTTTCCAGGAAGTAATGAAATCCAACATCTAACATTAGATGAATTCATCACTTGCCGGCAACTAGTTAAAACCTATGTGTACATATCTACAGTATAAATTCCATTTTCATATTGCTCCTTAGTTTTCATCTCCATCATCTTCTCCATCTGTGCTATCCGATGGCTTCAGATTCATCATGAACCTCCAGCAATCCCCTTCCTCTATTTCCCATTGTTTCTTTAGTTCGTAGATCGCTTTCGATGCCGCCGCAGCGATAGCAGGGTTATTATCTTCCGCAAGCCTCTACACAGATGAACCCATACCAATAAATACAAACTGTTTGTATGGGGTTTAAAATTTGGCAAAATTACCTGTAATGCGCCCATGCCGGCGTTTCCCAGAGTCCACATGGATGGAGCTGCTGCCAGTGCATTAGCCAACGCTTGTCTGCATCACATACAAAACAGAAACCAACCATTTTATCTATAGGAAAGGTGATTTATCATGTGGGTGACCCGTGTTCGATCCCCATCAATGGTGTTTTTTGAAGAAAAAAAGAAGGTGATTTATCAAATAGCAAGCTCCACAGAGCATACCTTGTACTGACATCAGGAGAACTTGAACACTCTGCCAGCAGTGATACACTGCTTTTACCATCCATTGCATCCAGATCTATAAGAGTTGTTATTAACAACTCGAGCTGCTCCAGAAAGCAAAGAGCAAGTTAATAAACAGACAATAAAGCTTTGCTTAGATCAAATGGTCCATCAGATGAGGAATAAGGATGCTCGGTTTGGACCTCTTCAGGATCTGTGTAGTCAATTCCGTCAGCTTCAGAAAGTGCAGATGCTATACTCCAGTAAGCCTCCTGAATGTCAACATAAATGGTTTCAATGTTATGCTTCTTGATGCAACTGGAAAAGGAAGCAGTAGGATAAGTGCAATCACAAAGGACCTGAATAGCACTAATGCGATTGGTAGACACTTCACCATTAAAGAAATCCAGAGTCTTCCCATTTTTCTCGAGCATCAAGTCGTTAGCTGATAGTGAACTTTCCCATCGCAGTGGGCTGGATAAGACATACACGTGCAGAGGGGTCAAACTTTAAGGCTTCACCAACGTTTAGAGGTAAAAAAACGGAGAAGCAAAAAGACAGTGGGAAACTAGTCAATATGAAAGGAACTTACAATTTGTACACCTTGCTCACCATCATGTCATGAATATTTTTCGTAAACTGCACAACCAACAAAATCAAAAGAACATAAATGCTCCATGCACGCATAGAAATGCAGAATTGATTACCTTCTTTGTCGAAAATATAGGATTTTTTTAGGCAAAGTGCTGAGTGCATTATTCAACACCATATATTATATCTATTCTATAACAATGGTTCAGATCTAGTCTTATAAGATCCAAGAAAATAATCAGAGCATAATATTAAAAAAATAGTTGTCCCTTACCTCCAAAGCCATTAAAGCATCCTCCATTGCACGCTGCTTAGCACGGAAGTCAGCACGGCGCAGATCAGCCTGGAAGACGGCACCATATATTTTATTACTCATAATCAGTAAACTACATTGTCAAGACACGTTCAAAACACTTGCAAATTAATGTTATGCCTTCCTGAGATATAACCAGACATTTAGTTCTTCAACCTTTTGGTAAATGGAAATGAAATTAAGTGGTTACTGAATATAAGCAATTAATAAGCTAACCGTAAGGAAAGATATTAAAGAATTAGAAAAATGCATGATATAAGTACCTCCAACGCACCATCACTCCAATGTTTATCAGCTGCAGTTTTCAATCTAGATTGGGCCTTGTCTTTTAAGATCTGAAAAGATACAAGGTTCTTCATGAAATTAAATCCATGATACCTTCCTAGAAAATGAACCTAATAACTAAATACACATACAGTGGCAATATGATGAAGACGTTCAGCCTTTTTCTTCACACTTCGGTCGATCTTTTCTGTATCTTCTCTTGCCCTAGCTGCATAGCATAAATTCAAAACGAAACATCATGTTGAAAAACAATGTTGGAAATATCAAAAGATCTTTGTACACATCATAAATATGAAAAAGCTCGTCTCAGTTAAACGTTACCAACTAAATTCATTTTACACACTGCCTCATTGCAGTGTTGTTTCCCACGGTAAAAGATATTGAGAACTCTCTTAAATAATTTACAAAATTACTGCATTAAGAGTTTACCATCGAGTTTAAGAAATCCTGACCCAAGAATAGCCACATCCTGACGAGCACGGGCGTCCAACCTCATTATTCCACTGAAGAAAACAGAAAAATAGCAAAATAGTAGTAAGCTAGAGTATAACCAACATAATAAATAAGGGCATGCGAACATGAAATGATACTCAACAAGACGAGAATAACCAATAATTTCAAACAACTAAATAGAGCTGTGACAATTTTCATGGGCTGAAATAGATTAAGTTCAGGGGTTTTGCGAAGTTTGCATTAGCACTGAAATAAGAGTTAGTAAACTCATGTTAAGAATACAGAACATGTCAACATGAATGCAATACTAAACACGAGAATTATACCAACATCTGATTATGAAGGCAACCTATTTTGTCATATATATATGTGACTGCTGATTATTACCGAGAAAGCAGAACCATGTCATTACGGGCCCTTTCATTTACAAACTTTGCATCATTGCACGCAAATCTACAAGCTTCAGCCAAGCCTTGACTTGAGTGTATTTTTATCCCATGCATGCCTGAATGACTAACTTCATCTTCTGCAATCTGTGCACTGACTCGTAACAATATGCATTCAATAAGTTCAGGATGGGCCATATCCAGAAGCACGAAAATGAGATATTACTTAGCTAAATTACATTTAGTGCCTAATTTATACATGATAATGCAAATCACTGGAAAAACAAAATAAAAACTCAAAAATGTGTAGGATGAAACAGAACTCGATGATAAAGAAAAAGGAACAGTACTACCCTTGATGTAGTACATGTAGAAATGAGGTAGGCTAGCTATAAAAAATTAATTACTGAGAAAAATGAAGATTTCCTGATAAACACATTATTGCAACAATAATTCCTAACATGAAAAATGACAGAACATGAACTATGAAAATGAAGTATCACTTAGATAATTAAAAATAGCACATAATTTACCTGGTGCAGAATTATTATGATAAACGACTCTTAACAAAAGTATCACCAATGAGATATTACTCGACTAATGTTTAAGCATTGAGAATTATGATTTTAAAGCAACAAAAAAAAAGTCTTACCCGGATGCATCAGGGCAAGATTGAACAGATTCCGTTGCTTCAGAATTACGAGTTCTTGAAGACAAGCATATCATGGAAGATCCTCGTGTGATAGCAGAACCACCTGTTTTTTCATATATGCTTCCCGAACGTTCATTCGGGAAACTCAACTTTGCCAACAAAAGTGGTGTATTTCTCAGTGTCCGACGCTCGAACCCTTGACTTATAGGATAGATTTTACTATGTAGCCTAGTGTGACCAACATTCTTAGTCACAACTGAGCCACTTGGGACCTTGCTTGAAGTAAATGCCATGGAAGGAATCAACACAGCAATGAAATAATCCCACCCAGAAACGCCCTTTCAACAGCTGAAAGCTAAGTTAAACAAAATATATAAATTAGGGCTACATAAAAATATCTTTAAATAGTCAAGTTGAATCGTCTGGAAAACGAATACTAACACTAGGGTAAGAGATTCTCTTGTTATATAAGAATTAAGATACAGTCTAATCATTTAATAAATATCATCTCAAATGATTCAATCTTGACTGAAACAATCAATAGATCAAAAACAATTATTCCAATTCTCTAATGATTCGATTCCAATTATTGCCACCAGACAATGAAAAACACACACCAAAGTTAGCAATAAGTGCTTTTTCTTGCAACTAGCGCGCACACACAGAGAGAGCTTCACAATTTCATTGCGGAAATTGGGTAGAAAAAGTGGGGAAACAATGAAAACCCACTAAGAAAAAAAATGCGTTAAATACCCAAAAACTATCAAACGAAGAGAATTAAACCAACCTGCTGAAAGCAAACTGACCTTGAAAGATTGAAAACAGAGAGAGAGAGAGACAGCTAAACAAAACTGGTTTTAAATAGGGAGAATGTGGAACAGTGGCCAAGGGAATTGGGAAGTGAAATGAGAACCACGGGCAAAGCATGTGGCCCCGAGAGAGCCAACGATTGCAACTAGAGTAAGATCTTAAAAGGAAGACAAATATGCGAGGGTCTTTTTCTGACAATTATCATACCTTACCCAGATGTCATGGATTTGGGTTGCAACAGCAGCCATTATTATTTTCCATTTAACTTTGTTTGGGTAATTCTTTTAACCTTTTTGGTCCAAACGAAAGCATGCTTATCCAGTGTGGATAAACATGCAAATCTTTGTGTGTTTCTCAAGCCACTGGTTTTTCTATGCACCAAAATTTTTTTCTTTTTGGGTAAAGTTTTCCTGTATTTTGGTATTACCAGATTTGAACTGCACTTCCCTTTACTACCTCGAGATTCTTATGCATGGTTCTGAGCAAGGATGGATAAGGGATACTAACTCATAAAAGTTTCAAATTTTAATTTATTTCTAAAATTTTATATATATATCCTTAAATTTTTCGTATAAATTTTTAAAATTTATATTCTTAACATCGAATCACGTGTATAAGAGATTCTTTTATTTTTTTTCTCTCGCATTTAACTGACATTTCTTTTATTTTTCATTTTATTTAACAAACAATGATATCAATCTCAATACTTATCGTATTTTTTATTTATTTTTTTCAGTTTTTAAAAATTCTACCTCTACGTACAGTTTTTTTTTTAAATAACAAAAAGGAAATTTAAGCCCTTACATTTGGATCTTGTACACAGGTACGAGAGACCTTTTATATCTCTATCTAGGATATCGACTTGCTGTGTAGGAAGCGAAGATAAAACTTTGAGTGCTCCGTCTGATAAAGGAACTGTCTTATCTATGAAATTCGCTGCTTTTTTACTTCCCAATTAATCTTTTGGAATTCAACGAACCGAGCTTTCTCATACAGACATGCAATTGCCCGCACCAAAGCAAAAGGACTATTAGCGGAAGGCGGGGAAAGAAGCTGATATACATCTTCATTGTTTGTCTGTACTATTATTCTTTCAAAGCCTTGAAACTATGCAAGTTCATGCCTTTCAAAATCCCCCAGAGCTCTGCCTTTAAAACCGTGGAGTGTTCGATGTACCTGTTACAAGCCATCAAACAATTTTCCAAATGATCTCGAAATAAACCACCAGCAGTACCGAGACCCGTCTGTTACTTTGTTTAGAAACTGCCCCATCAACGTTCATACATATCCAGTCGATATCCGGTGGTAGCCATTGGACATGTTTAAGCGGTGCTTGTGGATCTGTATCAAAGGATTGTTGGGGTAGCTGGTGCCCGGTAACTGCTTACTCCAAGCAATACTGATTTGAAGTGTTGAAAATTCAATGCAAGGGCGTGGAAATTCAAACATGGGCGGCTAAAATTGGTTTAAATTAGACAGTCTTTTTAGTTTAAATTGCGAATGGTTAATTACATTTTAGTCCCTGTACACTTTAATGTATTTATAAGATTAGTCCTTAAACTTAAACTATAAATATCATAACCCATTTAGTTTTAAAATCATCTCAAAATCATTTCTTTCTCCAAATACTAAAGAGTTTAGAAAGTTCTCTTGTGAGTAGTGAGTGTTTTGTAAACACCTGTAAATTTTCTCTCTTTAGTAAAAGATCTGCAGCAGTCCAAAGACGTAAGCAAAATTGGCTGAACTTCGTTATTAATTTCGGGTATTATTTTTCCGCTTTTATTTTGCATTTTCACTAATTTGGTTATAGGGAAATTACTCGTTTAATTCCCAACAACTGGTAATCAGAGCTTTTGGTTGTGAATTTTGTCAATATTTGCAAGGTTATTATTCATTACTATTTACGTGAATAGTGAATTTTGTGAATAGTAAAATTTTGTCGGCGATACGAGTTTGTCGACGGAGGTGTTTTTTATACACGATAGTTCGCAAGAATTGTCAGAAACGATCCAAACGAAGCCAGATTTGAGTGGGAGCGATGGCTGCAGACGAAGGGAATGTGAAAATTGAGAAGCTAAATAGTGCGCTCAAGACCTTCTTGTAAGGACTTAGACCAGGGGCAATGCTCGGGAGAGAGCAAGGTGATGCCTAGAGACTTTCGAAGGCCATAGATGTAGCCGGAAAGCTGACTGAGCTCGCAGGTGTCAAGCCAAGTAGCGATGTGTCGTCAGGCCCATGCCAGAGATAGTGGCAATAATGGGGGAGACCGGGAAAAAGGTGCAGCGAGGAGATGATAGAGGAAGCTCTTCGAAAGGCCAATGTTAGCCATCGACTGTTCGTAGCCAATAAAAGCCATCGGGAAAGAATGGCAAGGCTAAGTCCGGTGTGAAGAAGAAGGGGAGCAAGGAAAAATTGAAGTGCTACTTCTGTGATGGTCCTCATTTGATTAGAGGATGTCCCGAGAAGCGTCGCCTTACAACCATCATGAAGAGGATGGGAGAAGGAGAAGGAGAAGTAGCGGGAATTGGTGCTGTTGCAAGTGTTAAAGTTTCCAAGCCAGGGAAAAGACTTGGTCTAATTGAGGGGATCAATGTGGCCAAGCAAGGAACAAGACATGATGCGACTACAAGTTCTCAAGTAGTTAATCCAAGATTGAGACGTGACGAAACTGCGGGTATCAAAGCAGTCGAGCACAAGAAGGGACCAGATGCGATAGCGAGAGACAAAGTCGTCAAGCAGAGGGTGCAAAGTGAGCAAGTCCGCTCATAATATGCCAGGATGGAGGCGTAGTCCAAGTTGAGGCGTCTCAAGCATAAAGGGACACTTAAGGAGTATGTGAGCCAATTCAGAAAACTCATGCTCAAAGTCCCAAGTTTGACAGAAAAAGATGGGTTATTCACTTTCATGTTCGGATTGAAGCCATGGGCGAAGAAAGTGTTGGAGCGAAGGGAAGTCAAGGAGTTGTCTAAAGCCTTGACAACTGTCGAGTCCATCAAAGAATTTGGAGTCAAGAAGAATAAGACTTCCAAAGCAAAGCCGAAAGCTGAGCGTAGCGGCAAGAGATTCCGTAATGAAGGCAAGTCAGAGGATAAGGAATGTTGTTCCTCGAGTGACAGAGAAAGTCCACTCAATGATGAACCAGATGGTGGTTCTGGAAATGAAGTTCAGATCAGTCCTGAAGCAGTTCAAGAAGAACCAGGCACACCAGAACTGAGACGCTCATCCAGAATTCCTAAACCAACCCAGTGTTATTCGCTTTCTTTGCACTACTTGTTGCTGATTGACAATGGTGAACCAGAGTGCTATGATGAAGCAATGCAGGTGGAGGATTCAGTCAAGTGGGAGTCTTCCATGAAAGATGAGATGGACTCGCTTATGTCAACAAAGACGGTGGCTACGGACAAACTGAAGATGTGTTCAGCTTCAGTTGGCATGCTAGAGTAACGAGACCAGAAATACTGTTTCATTGATCAAGGTGTGAAGACATATTAAAATCAGTCTTCAAGTGAAAGATTTTTTAAAATTCAATGCATGGGCGTGGAAATTCAAACATGGGCGGATGAAAATGAATCAACATGGGCGGCTAAAATTGGTCTAAATTAGGCAGCCATTTTAGTTGAAAATTATGAAGGGTTAATTACATTTTAGTCCCTACATACTTTAGGGTATTTACAAGATTAGTCCTCAAGCTTCAACTATAAATACCCTAATCCATTTAGCTTCAAAATCATCCCAAAATCATTTCTTTCTCCCAATACTAAAGAGTTTAGAAAGTTCTCTTGTGAGTAATGAGTGTTTTGTAAACACCTGTAAATTTTCTCTCTTTAATAAAAGATCTGCAGCATTCCAGAGGCGTAAGCAAAATTGGCTGAACTCCGTTATCAATTTCGGTTATTATTTTTCCGCTTTTATTTCGCATTTTCACTAATCTGATTATAGGGAAATTATTCGTTTAATTCAACATGAAACACACATTAAAATCCATGGGAATTCCTTGGAAGACAAATGCGTTTCTACCTTTCCGAAGCTGTCAAACTAGAGTTGCAAATAATATATTCCAGGGCCCATCAATAAAGCCACAAACTATGGAAGATTTAAGATTCTTTATAAGCCAATCTGCAAGAGGTAGTTCAAAGAAAGAAATTTGAGGCTGAATCCTCAATAACCTGTTCCATATTATGCGGGCATTGCTGCAGTCTCGAAGGATGTGGAGCATGGTCTCATTTGTGTCGTGACAAACGGGACAGGAGGGGTCTTGTCATATGCCTCTCTTGCAACTATTGTTATTTGTGAGAGCTTTGTCTTTCATTATCAGCCAGAGAAAGCCTCGTATACGATCCCATACTTGATGTTTCCAAATTACGCGCCAACAAGGATCTTTGGCAATGGCATCCCAATATAAGTTGTCTAGAGCATGGAAATCACTTTTAACCGAGAAACGTCTTTTTTTCATCTTGTCGCCAATAACATCTATCAGGGCTGGAGAGAATAACCGGTGACTCGATATTTTGCAAATGAGGGATGGCGGCAGATTGGAGAAAAGATGAGTATATTTTTTTCCCGTTTTCATGGCATGTTTTCGGTCGTTTGATTATTTTTTTAGAGCTGATTTTTACATTGCCTCTTGATCAAGATACACTTATTTGTTATTTGTTTAATCCTTCGTTGTGTTTCGTTTGCTGATACAGTCAGATTTGTTCGTATCTATATTTTGTTAAAGTTTCTTAGATAAGTTTTAACTTTTTTTCTTTCATTCCCTTAAAATAAAACCTGTTTGCCTAAAAAAATCACATGTTCATTCTTATTCTAAGAGGAGAGTTCTCTTGCTTTACTCATCTTCTTAAAATTTATAATCGATTCATAAGAACGCTTTGAAATTCAAATAATTTTAAAAGAAAAACTCAATAGTACAAATCCACTTTCACAACCAAAACTAAGTAGGTTTACTGAACAATAATATAATAATAATAATAATAATAATAATAATAATAATAATAATAATAATAATAATAATATGGATGTATATTTGTTATGCAAATAATATGAATTTATATTTAACCCTATTGAAACGTAAAACATAAAATATCGGAGGTTAAAAGATATAGTCTTCAATAATTCTATTTATTTATTTATTAAACCCTTACCTACATCAAATGCGAATGATAAAAATATAAAAGAAATAATTTATTGAGTGTAATTTGTCAAGGGCACTTGGGACCTCCTTCTTTGGTCTTCCAGTTGTTGTAGCAAGGGCAGAGTTGCTTGTTGCCGTAAGTGCCGGGCGGGACGCATAGGCATTTTGAGCAGCATTTCATACAAAAGAACATGCACGGCTTCTTGTGCGATGTTGCCGAGCATCGGTAACTGCACCTCGGCTTGCATTCTACAATTCCATGCTTATGCGTCATTCATATATACTCATACAGTTTATGCAAGCGAATTCAGGAGAAAGAATTTATGTTTACCTGATGGACGAAGCTTAGCACTACCGTAAACCTGAAATCCTCTCCCGAACGAGGATTTAAATAACGATCCATGATCGAAATAACGATCATTATATAATGATAATAGTACGGTATGAAATCATTATATAGCAAGGATTTAAATCGCTGCTACTGAGTACGCACCTCAGCCACGTTGGACAGTGTAATCAAAAGAAGCATAGAAAATAGCAGAAACAATGAACTTCGGGAAGAATCTGCCATTCCTTTTTTTTTCCCCCTTCAAAAACAACCCTTTTTTAGTAACACTAAAAAGAACGAGTCACTGACTAGAATGATGAAAAATAAGAGGAATAGTGCAGATATTTATACGCAAATATAAAAAAAAATAGAGAGAGAAAGTTTGATTTTGAATTTCATCTTTCTACTTTATGAAAATTGAAAAGTTGAGACTTCTGTTTTAATTGGTGAAAATTTGATCTCATACTTTATTAAAACTAAGAAGTTAATCCAAATGAATAATACGAGAATCAAATGTTCAACAGTTTATACGTCAAGAATTAGAAAAAAAAATGTAGTTCAACAATTTATATATATTAAATCAATAAAATCAAAAGTTTAAATTCAAGTGTTTATCGATAATTAGATTAAATTCTAAGTTTTTGCAAGGTAAGAGGATCAAATTGAGACAAATTAAAACAGAAAGACTAAAACATAAATTATGTATATTAGAAGGATGGAATTGATACTTTTACCGAGAGGAAAATATATTGGCGAAAAGAGAAAGCACCGTTCGAAGGTATCTCACATGGTGGTTGGGAGAAAAACCGATGATTCGTCAAAGCGATAACTGCGGCGTGGCTTTCGTACGCTGTTATCTTTGTTACAAACGGAAAGTGTAGTTTTGTGACTCAATTTGAGTTTCCCCCCCCCTTTCCCTATTATTTTTTTGATGACATAGTTGAAGGCCGGCACTTGTTTGATCTTCTTGGATTAAAATTTAACTTGGAGGGAGTGTTTTTCTTCCTTGAAGCCCTGAATTCGAATAATTACGTTGGTAGATTGTGTGTATGTTGTCACTTATTAAAAAAGATGACAATTCAACCTAAAACCAATTAGGGTAATGGTCTCCTGATTATAATGTATTGTTTTGTTAAGTTCTCTGACTATTAAAAGTTATAAAATGATCCCCAACTATAAAATGTTGTTTTATTGAGTCTCTTAACTATTAAAAGTTACAAAATGATCACTTGTATATTCATATGTTCCAAAATCATCTTTTTTCGTTAACAAATTGACGTTAATCTGAGCTGGACGTTAACCTACTGATTGAGATATGATAAAATTATATTTAATGATGTCTATTATCATCGTCATTGTTATCAAGTACTGGCTTGCCAACATAATATTTCAAGCACTAGCTCGACATCATAGTTAACTATGAATAGTTATGTGACTATTTTGTAACTTTTAATAGTCGGATGACTCAACAAAACAACACCCTATAGTCGGGAGATCGTTTTGTATCTTTTAATAATCAGACGACTCAACAAAGTAACATCATATCTGGTGGTACAACATTAATCAAAGACTCCAGAAGAACTATAATATTATTATCATAAGTGACAAAAATTATCATGAATGATGCACTATTTTCATCCAAGTCTCCAAGAAATATATTAAATTTTAAAGATGCTTTTTCGAATTGAATATCATATATATAGATTGTAATGAGAAAGATATAGAGAAGTTTCAAATTATAAAAGTTATAGACGGAGATAAATGTATCTTTATGCTTGTACTATACGACTATCGGTACAATTAAAACGTATGTTGTGATAAATCAAAAGTTTATTGATCCAAACATATTTATTATTTGGCGTGTCCGATTAGGTTATCCCAAGTCATCTATGATGCGAAAAAATATTAAGAATTAACATAGTCATCTATTAAAGAACCATAAGATTCTTCAATTCAAGAAATTCTAATGTACTACTTGTTCTTAAAAAAAATAATTACGGTAACTTCACCAATTTAAGATTGAGTTAGAGTCCTATGCATTTCTTATCCCAAGTCATCTATGATGCGAAAAAATATTAAGAATTAACATAGTCATCTATTAAGAACCATAAGATTCTTCAATTCAAGAAATTCTAATGTACTACTTGTTCTTAAAAAAAATAATTACGGTAACTTCACCAATTTAAGATTGAGTTAGAGTCCTATGCATTTCTGAAATGTATTCAAGGTAGTATATATATATATATATATATGAGCCTATTCACTCATCTTGTAGACCATTTAAAAATGATTTGATTTTAATAGATACATCTATAAGATGATCACATGTGTGCTTATTAACTTATAACCTAATGTTTGTAAAATTACGTGCACAAGTTAATAAATTAAGAGCACAAGTTTTAGAATATGCAATAAAGACAATTTTCTCGACAATAATAGTGACTTTATCTTTCAGAATTTCAATTATTATATGTGTATTGAAATAACAATTGAAAGTCATGCCACTCAAGTGAACACACAGAATGATCTAGCAGAATCATTTATTAAAGACCTCTTGTTGAGTGCTATGTCATTACTTATGAGAGCAACGTTTCATGTTGAAGCATAAGGTTATATATATATTTTTTCATGTTACAACACTTGTATGCATCATAACATTATGTTACCATATATATTTTTCGTTGTAAATGATTTTTGGTCATGAATCAAATATTTTCTAAGATTATTTTTGATGTATAGTATATATTATATCATGTCTAGAAATAAGTAGAACAAACTTAAATTGACATTGATGATATATTTGCATGCAAATAACACTAGAGATTTTGAAGGACAATATGGATCATGATTGGTCAAAATAGAAAGAAACAATTGATGTGAAACTCAAATCTCTTACAAAGAAAGAAATATTTAGGTATGTAATCCATACATATGAACGTATAAAACTCGTGGGATATAAATAACTTTTGTGACAAAAAAAATAGAAATGGAGAAATAATGAGATGCAAAACACGTTTACTTGTTCAAGAAATTTTACAAAAACCTGATTTTGATTGTACAAGATATACTCTCCTATCGGAAGGCTTTAGACGGCCATAAATATTTTTATAGCATTCTTAACATTAATATACTTTTGCATAGTTTTTATATCATATTTATCAATGGTGTTATATTTAAAATCAACGTATCGACATTAAAATTCCTTATACGAAAACTCATTATTTCCAGTCAAATGAAAATGACATTTTTCAACTCTCGTTTCTAAATAAAAAGACAGAAACGGAGACATTATTATTATTTTGTTTAACCATCGATTTCTAGTATATTAATTGATTAATTTGAATCGAATTTTACAGAGGTCTATCATGCGAAAGATACACTCAACTTAATATATTCTATCAACAAATGTTAATATTTAAATTCTTGACTTCACTTGATATTAATTTAAAGTCGGTAGTGTCGCTGAATTTAATTATTGGCATTTAATATAATGTCAATGTTTTAATAGAATTACTTAATCGATTGCCTAAGTCCTACGAATACCAACTAAACAAAAAATTTAATTTACCAATAATATTTGATTTTTTTCAGTATTTTGTTTTATTTTTATATTTTTTTATCTATTATATCTTTTATAATATTCAAACTCCATGACGGTTTATTTTTATTGTTGTATTTTTCTAACAATTTCTTAATTGTTCTTGAACATTATTTTTACTGATGCCATTTTTTCAACGCAGTATAAATTATTTAATTTTTAAAAAATATGACGGTTTATTTTAATCATTTTATCTTAGAATTTTAAATTAATTTTTCCTGAAAATTATAATGCATATTTTATCGCTGTACCAAATACATTTTTTTCATTCCGATTTCAAGGTTTTGTCTTGATTAATCTGAACTGATCCGCGTCGCACACTTAGTTTTGGTGGGTGAGTCTCTCAACAGAAATTTTCTACATACACAAAACTTAAACTCAAGACTTTACTTAAACGATATCAAATTGCTTACCACTACTAGTCTGTACAAGATTGTTTATTTTTGAAATCATCTCTTCTAAATGTAATAATTGTCTAATACACTCGAAACAATAGACAGGGTCAGGATCCCAATTATATGTTGGCCAAATATAATTTGTACGGCAAAGTTGGAGTTTCTGAAAGCTTTACGAAGTAAAAGGCAAGGACATGTCGATTTAATCGTTTAAATATTATATTTTAAAATTTATATAGGACCAAATTGTTTAAATGGTATATACTAAATTATTAATGTTAAATAATATAAATTTTAAATAAGGTAATTTTTAAAATTTAATCTAATATTCCGTCTTTGAAATTAATATTTTAATTATTTTTATATCATATTTTATATTATATAATTATGTAATGTAGAATATAATTAAATTTACTAATAATTTCAACTTAAGAATTTTAAAACCTAGAAAAAAATGATATCAACTTGAATTATAATTATGAAAAATTCCCAATTCGAATACTTATGTTTCATCAAAATAAATGTCAAGAAATTGTTTCATCGAAATAAAATAATATAACGGATAATTCTAGACATTCTTCATCCCCTTGTCATGTTACACACATCTCTCTATATATAACAAGCATGTTACATTTCACAACTGCAGAAACTGATAAACGCTCCTCAAATCACACTCAAATGGAAGGAATAACAATTATTTACTCATCTCTTTCCTTTTTCTTCCTTCTCATTTGTCTAAATTTGTTGTTTCAATTCAAGAAACACCCCAAAAACCTCCCTCCATCCCCACCTTCACTCCCCATACTAGGCCACGTCCACCTCCTCAAACCTCCCCTCCACCGTTTCTACCATCGTCTTTCTCAAACATACGGTCCAGTCTTCTCCCTCCGCCTTGGCTCTCGGTTTGTAGTAGTGGTATCATCTTCGACCGTGGCGGAGGAATGCTTCACTAAGAACGACGTAGTTTTGGCTAATCGTCCCAACTTGATCATGGGGAATCACTTTGGTTACAACTACACCACAATTGCGACCTCGTCTTATGGTGATCATTGGCGCAACTTACGTCGTATCTGTGCAACCGAAATTTTCTCATTGAGTCGTCTCAACGCCTTTGCGAGCGTTCGGAAAGACGAGGTCCGGCGGTTGTTGGTGAAACTGTCGCGTGACTCGCGTCAAGGGTTTGCGAAAGTGGAGCTGAAATCCATGCTTACTGACTTGACGTTTAATAACATAGTGAGGATGGTTGCAGG